TTACGGCATTCTGTAGCTTTCGTGTGTCTATATTCCGTTCGTAATTGGGAGCTTCAACGTGCTGCGATCATCTGCGTAGGTAATTCATTCGTGGTCCACATGATACTTCGCCAGGGCACTACGTCGACTATATGTTGATCCTCGTCGTTTCAGCTTATGGCGTACGTGCACACTATGCACTAAGGCCTGCCTGCTCTCGGCATGAGATCACAGCCATACTAGTGTGATTTCCTTATCTCATGTGTATTCGGTATAATGACTTCAACCTGCCGGTATTCTGGTAGATCCTTTCCTGCTAACGAGAACATGTGCAAAGCGAGGAGTTGTGGTTGTATTTCGCGCTTGTCGGTAGCGGGCAATAATACTAGTTTCCCGACATGGCACACTTTTGGGGTGCCCCTCTTTACAGTATATCTCCTATATCTCAAGCCCGTCCGGTTTTATTGAAAGTTATCCCTTTCCCTCGCGAGATTATCATGCTAACCTTGTTGTTCCTTCCCCAACGTATGATCCGTTGCATCTGCCGCTCTCGTCCGGTCATGCGCCGGTATATCTCGTTGTGGACCTGAATTTTAGGCGCCTGGATGGGAATTCTCTGGAGTGCTTGCCCTCAAATGAACTGTGAGGAACGCAAAAAAAGCATGGGTCTATCGCTTTGTGATACATATGAAGAGAAGAATATGGACCCTATCGCGTAATGGCGGATCCGACCAGCATCACGTAGATACCGAGCACACGTGTTACAACAATAACCATTTGGTGTTGATGCAGGTACCCTTAATAGAAACGTGATTCTTCGATTACTACAATAGTCTTGAGCTAACGCGTTGGCCAAGTTGTTATGATTCCGCACGCGTGTCTAAATATTGAATTGCATTGATACCCCGGTCGGCCCGGTGGTCTAGTTAGTACCCTCTAAACCTTCTGGAGGTCAGGTCAAGGCTTCAGATCCCGGCGTAAGCGATCTTTTCTTGCAAAGTGAGTTTTTCTCTTGCTTGCGCTCCTGCCCTGGTGGATAGCGCTACTGTAGTTCGTCGTGTGTACACAGAGGGAAGAATGCTGAACTCTCTTCGCATGGAAATCGAAGGCAACGTACCGCAGGAGATGAGGGTAGAGAGGGGCCCCTCTGTGTGACCACGGGTTGGAGTAAACGGCACTAGTGCTGTGAGCGCTCATGTGGAGCGCCGAAAAACAAATTTTGCGTTGAACCGTCAGAAAGCAGAGTTTTTCCGGGCATCCTCCTTCCTCCTGCTTTACCCATGGAGCATGTTCATTGATACATTGCATCGTAGATCGACCTCGCCTTATTTGCTTCGACTGTCTCTATAGCGAGACCTGTTTGATCTCCTGTGCGCACTTCCCAGGGTGGAAGTTGATGATGATGCCTTGGAGATTGGAGCCGGGCTCTACGTTGATGCATACGGTGACGAATGTGGTGAGTGTCTAGCTGACAACGGTGTACCGATGGGCTTGGGGCTCGATAGGTGCTCACCGGTAGCATGTTGCCTTTGCTGCATCACAGTCTGTCCCACGAAGGTACCGGGTCGACCAGGAGCCGTTTGCGTGGGATTTTGTTTTTCGCTCCGTTTCCCGATCGAGGCATTCCACAGCGANGAGGAACGCTTGAAAAGCATGGGTCTATCGCTTTGTAATACATATGAAGAGAAGAGTATGGACCCTATCGCGTGTTGGCGGATCCGGCCAGCATCTCGTAGACACCGAGCACACCTGTTGTTCGCTGCTGCCCGCGATATGAGACGAATGCGTGTTACTACAGTAACCAATTGGTGTTGATGCACGTACCCTAACCCTTAAAGTGTTGCATGTACTTGTCAGAATGATCAACAGAAACGTGATTCGTCGAACACTCTCGAAACCTTCTTAGAGGTCTGGTGAAGGGTTCGGATCCCGGCGTAAGCAAGCTTTTCTTGCAAAGTGAGTTTTTCTTTTGCTTCCGCTCCTGGCCTAGTGGATAGCGCAACTGTAGTTCGTGTGTACACAAGAGGGACGAGTGCTGAACTCTCCTCGCATGAAAATCGAAGGCAACGTTCCGCAGGAGGGGAGGGTAGGGAGGGGCCCTTCTGTTTGACCACGGGTTGGAGTAGACGGCACTTGTGCTGTGAGCGCTGATTTCAAGTGAAAAAATGAAACAAACCGCGTTGAACCGTCAAAAAGGAGAGTTTTTCCGGGCATCCTCCTTCCTCCTGCTTTACCCATGGAGCATGTTCATTGATACATCGCATCGTAGATCGACCTCGCCTTGTTTGCTTCGACTGTCGGTATAGCGAGACCTGTGTGACCTCTTTTGCGCCCTTCGCAGGGTGGAAGTTGATGATGATGCCTCGTTCTCTGAAGACGGGCTCCACGTTGATGCATACGGTGACGAATGTGGTGAGTGTCTCGCTGACAACGGTGTACCGATGGGCTTGGGGCCGATAGGTGCTCACCGGTAGCATGTTGCTTTTGCTGCGTCACAGTCTGCCCCACGAAGGTACCGGGTCGACCAGTAGCAGTTTGCGTGGGATTTGGTTTCCGCTCCGTTTCCCGATCGAGGCACGACGATATGATCGAAAGGAGATGCAGCGTTGATTGAGCTTAAACCTGGCTGTTCCATACTGTTGGACGGCTCTTACTCGGTGCAAACCTCTGCGCGAGACTGATCTCGAAGGTAACCATCGGGCGAGGGATGGATGTAGGCATACTCAATTTTGAGAAAGATGTGTTGCCATCGTCCTCCCTAAGCGGCACTAGGGCTTGTACCTTCATGTGCAATATTCGCGATGCGCCCCCAAACACCGATGTTCTTTGAACGTTTTCCAGGGTGCTCTATTGAGGGCGTAATCGACAACGTGTGCGGCCAAGAAATGTGCACTCCCGGAGATGAAGGGTACACGTGTGGTGAGAGAACACAGGCCCGAAAGGCAACTCTGTAGTAAATTATCGTTCAAGTTCATCCTCTTCATCGAGGGGCTTGGGCAGCAACGAACTGATACTGTCCAACACTGATGGTCTAGATTCATCACAAGAAGTGCTTCCCGATGTCTAGGAACTACATTCGACCTTGATTGTCCGGGTTGCGCCAAGACGCCGTTTGCTACGAAACAAGAAGTTATTTCAACGGACTAATTATTCTTCCAACTGGTTTGAGTGCACGAAACCGTACCACCAAGGAATGTTGGTCCGTCATTCTTCCCCTGTTGGCTTGACTTTCCACTCCTCCGGCTGGGGTTATGGAAGGTGAAGCATGAGTAACTGGCGAAGCTCTCGATTGTTTAAACGTCCAAACCCAAATTCGTCTTCGAATACCCACCATCCTGGCACTCGCTGCAGCGGCCATAATTCCGGCTACGCCCGCACCTGCACTGGGCACGACCGCGCCAGAATCTGCACCAGGGTCGAGCTCAGAAGGTAAGAGGCTTGATGCCACACCTTCAGTAGGAGTGATATTTTCCCGCATCTCCGAACGACAGCGTCTGAACCGATGTCCCGCCAGGAATCCTGCAGGTTACGTTTGCGACCATCCAACGCTGCACGCCTCTCTTGAGCACGATGTTTTTCAACCTGTGATTTTTCTGTCGACTGGTTGAGTGCCAGTGCCATCAAGGAAGCTGGTCTGTCATTCTTCCCCTGTTGGCTTGACTTTCCACTCCTCCGGCTGGGGTTATGNGCTGTCCTGCTACCAGTCGTTGCCTAACAGAGTCCCGCCTCCATCAACGCTCATCGCTGCTATTCCGCTCCTGGTCTGGACAAAGAGGGCGCATCGATGGTGGGCGTTGTAGTCGGCGCTGTGGCCGGCGCGCTGGCGTTAGTAGCACTTGGGTTCTTCCTAGGTCGCCGACGAACCCTAAAGAGCACCGACCCCGACCCGCCGGCCTCTCCTGGCAACGGTGGGGACAGCCTGGAGCACGGCCGTGGTGAACCGCAGCAGCGACGGCAGCAGGACACCCATTCCGATCGGAGGAAACGATACCCTGGGCCCGCCACCTGCTA